CCTGCCCTGCCCAGTGTGGAGGCAGCCGGGCCACGCCACCCGCCACCCGCCACCCACCGGCGGTGTGGTCCTCTCGAAGCTGGTCCCTCATCTTGGGAACCGGGTACACCAAGCCCCCCCTCGTCCCACTGGGTGGAGCGAGGATGACATCAGGTTTGGAAAGCCCTTGCCGTGTGGGGGGCACAGGGCTCGGCCGGGTCAGGAGGACCTCTGCCCAGGGATCCCCGGGTGAGGATGGCAGGAGCCCAGACCTTCGGGAGGAGGCAGAGGCAGGGCTGAAGCCGTTTCTGTAACGAGCATCTCTGAAGCCTTTCTCGGGGCCAGGCGCTGTCCGATGGCCTCGGGCGCCTTCAGTTCTCTCGGGGCTGGAAGGAGGTGTGAGCCTACTATCACCCCCATTCTGTGGACGGGTGAACTGAGATGGGGAGAGGTGAGGCCATGTGTCCAAGGTCAGAGTCTAGAACCGGAGGGGCTGGGATGTGAGCCAGGCTGCCTGGCGTCAGCCTGCCATGCCTAACCCGGTGTGACCGCCTCTCTCCCAGCCGACCCGGCCCAGGAGTCACCGGACTCCTGAGCAGGCCACTTCCCTGGAGGCCGCTTCCTGTGGAGGCAGGAGGCCACCGCGAGAGCCTCCTGTGGCCGGGAGCAGACCCCCGGGTGCGGCCCCTGGAGAGAGACCAGTCAGGCCCTCCCTGGGCCTCAGTTTCCCTGTATGCAGAACGGGTGGGAGGAGGACGGCGAGGGCGCGGGCTCTGCCCTCTCCCAGGATCGAGAGGGACTGACAAGGAATGGGCATGGGAGCACGTCCCTCAGTGGTTGAGCGTCAACCCAGGAACCAGGAGGTCACGGTTCGATTCCCGGCCAGGGCACAGGCCCAGGTTTCAAGCTCGATCCCCAGTGGGGGGCGTGCAGGAGGCAGCCGATCCATGATTCTCTCATCATTGATGTTTCTATCTCTCTCTTTTTCTCTCTGAAATCTCTTTTTCTTCTGAAATCAATAAAAATATATTTAAAAAATAAAATCAATTAAAAATATTAAAAAATATATATTTGAAAGATGTTTTTTCCAGGTATTGAATTCTAGATATATATATATTTTTTTAATCATCACTGAGGGAAAGACAGAAACATTGAGGTGAGAGAAACACATCGATTGATTGCCTCCTGCACTCAGGGCCCGGGCCGGGGAGGATCCTGCAACCGAGGTACGTGCCCTTGACTGGAATCGAACCTGGGACCCTTCGGTCCACAAGCTGACACTGTATCCACTGAGCCACACCGGCTAGGGCTGGATAGTTATTTATTAATCAATAATTTAAAGATGTCGCTTCACTTCCTTCGAGCTTGCATTTTTCTCAGCGAGACATGCCATCCTTATCTTTGCTTCTTTGATGATAACCTTTCTTTTTTTTCTCTTCACCGCTAGTTTTGAGCGATGCCTCAGTATCATTTTCTTCATGCTTTTTCTACTTGGAGTTCGTTTAGCTTCTTGGATCTGTGGGTTTATACTTTTCATCAAATTTGGGAAGTTTTGGGCCCCTATTTCTTCAAATAACTTTTCTGCCCCCCCTCATTGCCTCTCTTGAGGGGACTCCAGCTGCCCATACATGAGGCCCTTGAAGTTGCCCCATAGCCTTTCCTTTCCGGATTCTTTTTTCTTGTTTCATTTTAGTTTCTATAGCCGAGCCTTCAAGTTCACTCGCCTCTTCTTCTGCGATGTCTACTCTGCTGTGAACCCAGCTATAGAAGTTCATGGGAAGGTTTTTCTTCTCTCTTCTTCCTCCTCCACCTCCTCCTTTCTCTTTAAATCTTCCATCTTACTACCTAACTTCTTGAATTTATAAACAGTTACAATGTTTTGATGTCCTTTTCTGCTAATTCTGATATCTGCGCCAATTTTAAATCTGTTTTCATTACTCTTATCCTGGGCTGTGCTCCCTGCCTGCTTGGTCATCTCTGATTGGATGCCAGACATTGTGGATTTTACCTTGAGGGCGCCAGCTCCTTTTATATCCTCACAAATCTTTTTGAGTGTTGCTCCAGGATATGGTCTATTGGCCTGGAAATACTTTGACTCTTTCAAGTCTTATTTTCATGAATTGTTAGGCACGTCCAGAGCAGTGCTCAGTCGAGGGCTAATTATGCCTCATTGATGAGGCAAGACTTTCCTGAGAACTTGTACAGGGCGTCCCACGCAAATACTGCCTTTATACTTACTCAACATGTGTGAATACATTGTTGGGACACCCTATATTAATATTTTTTTACATTTAATTATTATTTTTTTAATCCTCACCCGAGGGTATTTTTCTATTGATTTTTAGAGCGTGGAAGAGAGAGTGAAAGATTGATGCGAGAGAAACATCGATTGGTTGGCTCCTGCATGAGCCCCCGACCAGGGCCTGGGCTGGGGAGGAGTCTGCAACCCAGAATTGAACCCAGGATCCTTCGGTCTGCAGGCCGGCATTCTACCCACTGAGCCAGACCAGCTAGGACATCCATTTAATGTTTATTTGTATGAAGTTTTGACATCTTGGGGCCTAGCTAAACCTGGAGAGACTGCCTCTCCCAGAGGTGGTTAATTCCTGAAAGATAGTAAGCCACGTGCCCGCGAGTAGGACACTCACGTGCACATTAACGAGTCAGTCTGCCCCCACCCCCTTCCTGTGACGCTCACACCGCAAGCCACTATTTTCCCTGCCCTCGAGCCACCTGGGCCAGCGCGGGGAGCCGGGGACCACCCCAACAGCCAGAGCCCTCTGCATGCACTCAACATACCCGATTCTACACTTGTCAGCACTGCCACCCTGCCTCACCCCTTCCTTCCGTGGAAACCACAGCACTAACTCCGGCCACACCCCGTGTACCCCAGGAGGGCCGAGTGGAATGGTCTGCTCCCTCCTCTTGGGAACTACAAGTATGAACTGCTCGTCGGCAGTTGTCTCTGTCTCTCGCCTCACCACAGCTGATTAACACGAAGTCCTTGGTACAGATGAGAAGAGCAGTCTACCTCTACCCAATCTCCGGTCTGGCTGGGAAGAGGGACCATTCCAGCTCAGCTTGCTGCCAGGCACCATCCTAATCCTTTCCACGGCTCCCTCCCAAGCCTCGGTTAGTGTCCGTGGAGGAAGAATGGGGTCCCAAGGAAAGTCATCTAACAAGGTGACCTGACCGTAAGTTCCTAACTGGGCAGGTCACGCTGCGTAGCCACACTCCAGGGCTATGACTTCTTCAAACGATTTTTAAAAAATATATTTTTATCGATTCCAGAGAGGAAGGGAGAGGGAGAAACATCAATGATGAGAGAGAATTCTGGATCGGCTGCCTCCTGCACGCCCCCTACTGGAGACCGAGCCCGCAACCCAGGCCTGTGCCCTTGATAGGAATCGAACCGGGACCTCCTGGTTCATAGGTCAACACTCAACCAGAGCCACGCCAGCCGGGCTAAAAAATTCCCCATTTTTTACTGGGAACATTTAATTAGAAACAAAACTAGAGAACCCCCTTCACTTTCAGGATGTCGGTAGGGAGACGACTAAGGTTTGCCGTGTAGAACCGTGCACGGCTGGCACTCCCGCCCGCTTTCCAGGGTGAACGGTGTCCAAAGCCCGCTTTTCAGATTCTGGGTGCAACTCACTGCTAAGTATAACGGGTTCTGTTTTACAGTCAAGTATAACTTATAACTTATGCAGTGGTCTCTCTCTCTCTCTCTCTCACACACACACACACTCGAGCCCAGGGCACCATACATGGAATCAGGATCACCCAGCTGGTAGCAGGGTTAGTGCTTAGAATGCAGTTTCCCGAGCCCCCTCTAGTCCAACTAACCACCATTCCTAGGGTGGGGCCTTGGAATTTTTTTTTTTGAATCCACTATTTTTAAAATCTTTGTTGAAAGTATTACATAGATCCTCCCCCCTCACCCCCCAAAACCACTTCTAGCCGGCTCCCGTCCCACCCTCCAGGCCCTCACCACCCGTTGCCTGTCCGTGGGTGATGCCTAGGTGCAGACAAGTTCACTGGGTGATCTCCTCCCGCCCCCTCCCCGCCTTCCCTGAGGTTCCAGTCTGCTCGTGCCGTCTCTGGGGGAATCTTCTTTTCTAACAGGACGCCCAGCTGATGTTGGAAACCACCCTCCCACTCGCCACATTCACATCCAGGCTTCACGGCCAAATAACCCGCGTCTGTACAAGGTGACCAGCAGAGGCCACGCAGCCGACGCGGGGGCTGGGGGCGTCACTTCTACCTGAGAGAACTCATGGAGAAAGACTCTAAGGAGAAACTCAAGGAACAAGTGTTTCTGACCAGAAACAATACATTAATTCTTGGTCAAATCTAAAACAAACTCCATGTGGGGAGTAAGTTCACCTGAGATGCCGCACCCAGGAACCCCTCCCCTGGAGCGGTGCCGCTTCACGGAGCCACCAGGCAGGTCGTCACGAGTGGGAGGAGCTGGGGAGCTGGAGCAAGACGCAGCGGCTGCTCTGGGGGAGTCTTTGAAGCCTTACTTGATGTGCCTGTGTACCTGCCCGACCTCACCAAGGCTTGCTCCTTAAGAGGGTGGTGGTTGTTTTTTAATTTAAGAGAGAGAAAACACGATTTGTCGGTTCACACATTTATGCATTCACTGGTTCTTTGTGTTTTCGTCCCAATTATTTTGAGAGAGAAAGGGAGAAACAGACGTGAGTGCAACATTGGTCAGCCGCCTCCTGCACGGCCCCCCACGCGATGAGGCCTGACCTGGGCATGTGCCGACCGGGAATGGAACTGGCACCTTTTGGTGAACAGGATGCTCCACCCAACAAGCTACACCGGCCAGGGCTACTGGCGGATTCTTGCATGTGCCCCGACCAGGGTCGAACCGCCACCTGGATGTATCAAGACAACACGCTAACCCAGCGGTCGCCAGGCTTTCAGACCTCACGGAGCACCAGTTGGCGCCGCTGCTCTAACCACCTGAGCGACCGGCCAGGGCTGCCCCTTCGGGCGTTGTATTACAGGAATAATAGAGGCTGTCACCTCGTGGCAGTGTCCTGAGGATGAAGCGAGGCTTGTTGAGAAAACCCGTCTGATGCCAGCTGAACAGATGCG